CATGGTAAGAAAATACAAAACAAGCTGGATCTGCTGGAGTATAATCTAAAATATTAATGTAAAAATCACAGGCTCCGAGTCTAGAATTTGCATACAATTCGCTCAGAATTAAAATAGAAATACTTGGAGAATGCACTGCTGTCCAGTTTTAACATTACTTCCACAGAGATCAGCAGAAACTAGATTTTTAATTGTCTTAAGCTCACCAATGTCACTGTAAGGCCAAATCTCTATATAATTGGCACAAATAGAAGTAATTCCTCAGCAGCTAATGGAGCATCTATATTCAGTCAACCTCACCTCACCCATGCTGAGATTATTTAGTTTCAGTGACCAAAAATAGTCAAGTAACATGTCAAAAAAGAAAGAACAATTGTTTTAATCTGTTTAGTAGAGATCAATAATTTAATATCCCTCACAATGTCTGCCATTCTTTTAGGTTTACTTAAAGAAGTATGGCTACCTGCACATCCCACTGGACAGTAAAGTTCAAGATTATTCACATGAGCAAATAGCGGAAGCTTTAAGGTCAACCATCTTATCAGTTTACATTGTCCTCATTTACTATTTAGACTTCATTTCAATTGAAAGTTAATTTTTTTTTTTTTTTTAATGTCAGAATGTTTCAGAAAGTGACCAACCTGCAGGTATCAGGAAAACTGGATTTAGCCACGCTGGCAATGATGAATAAACCTCGATGTGGCCTCGAGGATTCTTTCGATAACAAATCTCTCAAATATCGAGTCCTGGGTAGGTAACGGTATACATAATGGATTTTTAATGTGTAGTTGATGTGCATATAAAGGATTTTGAATTATAATTTCACAGGTTACTGGCGTAAGAAAATGCTGACCTACCGCATTTACAATTACACTCCTGATCTGGGTCTGGGAAAGACTCGCATGGCCATCCAGAATGCTTTTAAGTACTGGAGTGATGTGTCACCTTTAAGGTTCAGAGAGTTGTATCAAGGAAGAGCAGACATCAAAATCTCATTTCACAGAAAAGACAAGACGTGTCCAGTACCCTTTGATGGCCGAGGTAGGACCAGCATATGAACAGTTGTGCTCAAAGAAACTCCAACGTTTTGTGATCTGAGTGACTTCTGGTATTTAATTAGAATCCTTGCTTCATCTTTAGGCCGTGTTTTAGCGCACGCTGATGCCCCCGAGTCTGGCATTGTGCACTTCGATGAGGATGAACTGTGGACAGAAGGGAAGAGTTCTGGCTCCAACCTGAGGATTGTAGCAGCGCATGAAATTGGCCACGCTCTAGGCCTGGGCCACTCACAGTACTACAATGCACTGATGGGACCTGTTTACAATGGATACCGCTCTGACTTCAAGCTTCATCCAGATGACATACAAGGGATCCAAGCTTTATATGGTATTGCCAAAATGTTATTACAGCACCATATGCATATATCTTTGAAGTACTATTTATGCAACCTGCAACGCTATCCCTTTTCAGGAAAGCCAGAGAAGATTCCTGAATCCAGAAATCCAGGACAGTCAAGGCCAGGAGGAGTTATTCCAAATCCATGCAAGGCCACTGTGGATGCAGTTATGTTGGGTACAGAGACTCTGATGCTCTAATACAAATTCCTTTATATATGCTTTGCTCTGTATTTTGTTTAACAAAACAGGAAGAGGCTTCTAAAGATATTTTTTCTCCTACATTTTGCCCCTGCAGGTCCTTTGCGTAAGACATACTTTTTCAGTGGGCAGTATGTGTGGACAGTGTCCAACTCTGACTACAACACTCCCATCCAGATTTCCGCACTGTGGAAGGAGCTGCCAGGAAGTCTCAGTGCAGCTGTTCACTCTCCGCGAACTGGCAAATCCTACTTTCTGAAAGGTTTATTCAGTAGTTTTATCACCAGCGTTCAGAATGTTTAATTCCAGCTGTGTGTTCTCTTAGGTGTGTTTTCTGAATTCAAGTGTCTTTCCTCTGCAAACATCCTTTCACAGGAGACAAATTATGGAGATACACAGGCTTCAAACTTGACCAGGGCTTCCCCAAACGTTTGTCCAACATCCCTGCAAATATTGACTCTGCTTTTTACTTCAATAAGAACCAGAAGATTATCTTTTTCAAAGTAAGATGATTTTCAGTCTTTTTGTTGTTTTTTGATATCTGAACTCAGTTAATAATTTGCTCTTTATTTCAGGGCTCTGGATACTGGCAATGGGATGAAATTGCTCCAACGGATTTCAAATCATACCCTAAACCAGTTGGACAACTCTTCAAAGGGATGCCCAGCAACACTGATGCTGCAATAACGTGGACTAATGGTTATGTATACATATTTAAAGGCACCGAGTATTGGCGCGTAAACCAAAACTACCAAGCAGTGGAGAAGACCTACCCTCTCAACACTGCCTTGCGCTGGATGCAGTGTGACGACTGAGCCACCAGAGGCCACTGGGGACTCAACATTAACCTTATCTGCACAATGACTGTTTAATAACAGTGAAACAAGCTCACAGTATGGGTATTGGTTATGTGGGCGTGTGCAATGATATTTGCTTCTCAGTCCTGTCATGTTGAGAAAAAAAGGAATACTAAAGCTTCCACTTACCTAGATGCATTTTTAATTAAACTAACGAATAAACTAGTAACTAGTTAAAATAGTTATCTTTAATTATACATACTTCTGCTTCTCTTCCACTTTAACATTAAATAAACAGACCAATCAACCAGGATAACAGAGGAGAGGACATTAATCACAGAACATGTGAGGAATACTTCCCTGTAGCCTTCCCTCTGGTGGCATTTTATTGGTGTATGTGTACATTATGTTAGTATATTATATGAGTTATATCAAATGTTGTTAGGGTGCCCTTTTTAATGTCTGGCCACAAATGCCAGATAAAGGAGTCTTGGTAAAATCTAAACGAATCAAATAAAACCAAAACAGATTTTTGTGAAGCTCACGCTGCTCTTAACAAAGAGTCTTGAGAAGTCAGAGTAGGTGGAAAGCACCTGTGTAGTTGTGCATGCAGCGTCTTTGAAGGATAAGGTCACTTTACCTGATAAGAAAGTCAACTTCAGACACGTGAACAAGATCAGCAGGCGGTTTTCACCACATGGAGATCTTCCAAATACCTAACTTCTGTGTTCACTTTTATTTAGGCACCAGTTTATTATAATTAATTCAAATGAAACTAAAAACTACAACTCGATGTGAACAATTGAAATAACTGAAATAAAAATCAGACTTTGAATAAGCTGATTGAAAATTATATTGTGCATTCAGAAAACTAAGAATTAATTTTGCTGCCGTGTGGTTCTATTAGAAACATCAGAAGACTTTGTTGTATGTGTTTTTCCGTGACCGTAATTTTTCGATTACGCTGTTTGTGTTCTAATATCTATTCTGGACTTCTTAGCACTTGCCCTTAACAAATACCACCCACATAAAAAAAAAAGACTGTATTAAAACTGGACATCGTCAGACCATAAAAAGCTCAATTGTGAAATGTGCAAACCAGCGGAAACTAGCTGAAGCTACACTGAAATGAAAACTTTAATTCAAGATGAAATGACAATTAGAAGGAACAAAAAAATTTGAAACTGTGTTTACTCAGACAGAAGACAACGGCTCAAAAATGTGAAAAATGTAATTTCCACTTTCTTTTAAAACGTCTGCGGAGAAGTTTTTTGCTACGATAAACATCATTCTGTACAAAAATGTCCATAATTTCATTGTACATGTACAAGGACAATAAAGGGCTATTCTATTCTATTCTATTCTATTCTAAATCCTTGTACGTAAAGTGCAAAGTTAACATAACTGAACAGTAGCAACATTAACTGAAAAAACAAAGGGTGGAAAAAAAGTGGAATTAACATTTAAACAAGTGTGAACAAAGGGAAGGTTAACCTTAAGAACAAAACTGACATATTCATACATTCTAATTAAAACAACAATGTTCCAGAAATCATGGACCCATTTTCATAGTGTTCATAGACTTCTTCTTTTCTTCTTTTCTGCTAACCTGAACCCCACAACCATAAAACTGTACAGAACAAAGTGCATTGACCAAGTGGCAACATGCAGAAGGGACTGCAAATCGAAGTCAACACTGCAGTTCCTCAAGTGACCACTTGAGGCTGGCTCCATAAAGTGAGTCTGTACCCAGAGACTCCAGTGTTAAAAGGCCGAAGTTTAGCTATGGCATATTTACAGTCTAGTACAAAAATGGCTTTGTTCTCTATAATTAAATCCCTCATAATAATTACAGTTTTTTTGAAATGTTTTAAACTTTCAAGGCTGACAGCTAGTCTATTATCAACTCTGAAAAACTTCTCAAATCTGTTTGTATCTTTTGGAGCATTTTTAATACATTTATATACCAAATCACATGGCTCGCTTAGCACTAATTATAAGGTATCTGTGTCTGCATGATGCATCCATGCAGTTTACGGATCAAGCTAATGGTAATATTTGTAGATAACTCAGCCTGTTTGTCCAAATTTGGTCACTTCTGATTCCAAAACATGCAACATGCTAAAGAAATGCTGAAGTAAAAGCTTTAAAACTGGATTTAACATTTAGACACAAGAGGTTCTTGTTTGTGAAAGGTCAGAGAATGTAAACATGAATGCCATCTCGCTCTGTAATGCTGGCCAGCTGCATTCTACTTTTATAGCAGTGACAAAATGGTGTACAGAAAACAGCTGTACAATTACTCCAAGAAGGCGTGTGGATTTTTTTGTGACCTAGTCATGATTTCTTTGGAGGAGATACAGTTTCTGAGTCAAATGTATTTGTGACCTACAAATAGGAGAATTTTGATCTAGCCTCTCTAGAACAGATATCTCCAAAGAAGGACAACACACTAGAGGAGTATAGATGGATTAATAACAGTACAGAGCAGAGGAAAAGCATGTTTTATTTAACCTCTTAAAAGTAAGGATGTAACCTTCAAAGATGAAATAACACATCATCTGGTTTTCAAATTCAAACTTGAACTCATAAACAACTAAACACACTCTTCACAGTTTTAATACAATCAGTGTTTTCGATGCTGCTGACATTCTTATCTTTGGTATGATTGCATAAACATCACGTTGCTGATTGAATGACTCTTAACATAAGACAATACCCAAAACAGCTGACTGTGAAGCTGTACTCAATATTTGATCTGATCAATATTTTATTGGTCTACCGTTCAGAATTATATGTTTTATGTATATCCTTGGTTTCATTGCATGTGCTGGCACACATTTATCTTTTGTAGCTGTAATGATTACATTTCAGTGTAATCTAGATATATTACTGATCTATGTATGTACACAGTGACATAAGCAGAGTGTTTAAGATTGTAATGATATTGCATGAAACAAAAGAACTCATCTGAGAGTTAAACTGCTCAAAGGATTTAGTAGTCATGGGCCTGATGCTGTGTTGAGGTTGCATTAATTTGTCTTGTCATCATTCAGGGGATGATCTCCAAGTACCTCATATCAGTCTGAGCATGCTGATTGTTATCTGATGAAGCCAGTAATAAGGATTCAAACCACAAGTTGAAACTGTGGAAAGGTGTTTGTGATGGTCAAAAATTCAAATGATTAATTATTCCTCAGACATATGTAACCTATAGTTACTTGAAGCCATGTTAATCAAACTGTGAAGACTGGAGAGGAAGTGGTCAGAGGCACCATGGAGCCTGTTTCAAAGTCAAAGTCAATTAGAGTGTGTGTGATAGTGCTGACGGTGCTTTTAGAGGAGCCGGTTCCCATCTGACGCTCCTGAAGGCTCTGAAGATAACTCTGCAAGGCAAACAAAAGGAGGATGCACTGTTGTTAAACTGGCCATCTACCATGGAGACAAATTATACACAGTGAGAACCTAGAACAACTCTGGTGCTCCACAAAGCTGCAGTGGGCCTTGTTTACCAGTTCATGTACGAAAATGTGTGCTAATACTAATGTATACTTGTGTCATGTCAATTTTATTTATCTAGCATATTTTGAAAGAGACAGAAGATAACCCAAAGTCATTTCCAGGCAAACGTATTTACATTCAAGGTCTCCAGCAACCCAATTTCAAAACCCAAAACTACCTAAAAACTTAAATTAAAACACGATAAATAAAACAGCAACAGAGCAACATAAACAATTTTATACTATAAAAAAAGAATTCAAAAACAAGAATAAATGATAAATAAAATCCATCCATCCATTTCCACTGCTTATCCCTGGTTGGGTTGTGGGGGTAGCAGAGAAGCCCAGACCTCTCTTACCCTAACCACCTCCTGAAAGGAGGCCATCATCTGATGAAGCCAAAAGAACCACATCATCTTCAAAAAGCAGAGATGAGATCATTAAATGACCAAAGTGGGAGCCTTCTGTCACTTGCCTAGAAATTCTGCCCATAAAAAGAAGTGCCCACCACAGCATATCCCGAGGGATGAAGTCGATTGCCTTCACAAAACAAATGTAAACTGATTGGGCAAACTCCTGCTCACTCTTGAATATTCTTGAAAGGACAAAGAGCTAATCAGGAGTTTACGGCCAGGACGAAAACTGCATTGCCCCTCCTGGATCCAAGACACAACTTATGGGTGGACTATCCTCTCCAGCACCCTGGCAAAGACCTTTCTGGGGAGGCTGAGAAGTGTGATCCCCCATGACGCTGGAGCATTCTCTCCAGTCCCTCTTCTTGAGGAGAGGAACTACCACCCAAGTTTGCCAATTCAGAGACACTGTCTCTACCTTCCAAAGGCATGTTGTAGGTGTCAGTCACACAACATCCAGTGCCTTAAGAAGGAGCGGTTTAACTATCAGGGTGACCTCACCTTAGTGATGGCCAAGTTGCCCCCTCATCCATCCATGTCGATGGGATTGATGTGATCCTTGAGGTATTCCTTCCACTGCCTATGTGCTGAGTTGAAGTTTGCAGCTCCCACCTGCACTATGCACCATTTGAGTATAATACTGCTTTCTCCTCTTGAGTTGCCTGACAATTTGCCAGAAGTACTTTGGCAGCCCTTGATTGCCATCCAACACACATTGTGTCTGACCCCTTCTCTGGGTGGTGACACCACAAGACGGTGGCCCTATAATGTTGCTACAGGCTATGCAAATTGGGAAATTGCACTGTATATCAGGAAGTTGCAGTAGTAAAGGTGGGAGGCAATAAAGAAAAGGATAACTAAATCCTTTAGGTACATAGCTAACTTTAATATTTATTAATGACTTAGAGTTGGTAAAAATGCTCTTCACAACATTACTGACTTGATTCTTATAATTCAAGGAAATGGCAATAAAAACATAAAGATTTGTTTACATTTTTGACTTATGTAGATATGGTTAAACAACCAAGTGCCTTGGCATCTGTTATTATTATTATCTGGAATGGAGAAATAAAATATGATAGAAAAAGCACATCAATCATTTGAATCTCAGCCACTGACCGGTGCCAGGACATCCCCAGCATAGCGTTTCAGGGGTGGAGGCCTCCGTCGGCGGTGATGCTGAGGTCTTCTCCTTGAGTCTTTATTTGCATGTTTTTTTGCATATTTCTTCTGTTTTTTATGTGCACCTGGATGCATTAAAAGGGGAGAACAAAAAAAACATAAAACATGAATACACAACATCAAATAGGGAGGTTGTGAATACAGCCTTGAGTTAGAGATTGAATTAAACTTACTTCCATTGTGTGACATTCCTTTGGCAGTAAACCACCATTGCACCAGCACTCCGGTGAGACTCAAAACAGGACAGATTCCAGTGACAGCCCAGTCAAACCAGCAGAGTGGTCGTGGAGCAGCTTGAGAAAATATATCATACACTTGATCTGGCAATACAAATGCCCCCACCAGGTAATCTGCACACAGCATGACTGCAGTTGCTCCAAACACAGAAGTGAAGATTATGCTGAATAGTTTCTGCCACTGGAGTGTAAAGACAGCAGCGGCCATGCTGGCAGCTAGAACAACACTGAGAGGCACCCAAACTGGAGTAAGGCTGTGAAATTGTCCAATAACCACCAATATGGAGAGGGAGAGAAGGCTTCCCAGAAGGAAACCGCTGATGAGGAGTCCCACAGTTGTCATTAACATGGTCAACAGTCCACACAGCACAGCCACACCAAGACCAATGCCCGCCTTGGTCTCTGCCTGCAGCTGGGTGTTCAGTGCAGGTTCTTTATGGTACAAGAGGAGCATGGCCGCTGAGCTTAACAGGAAGCCTGAGAAGAACATGACCATCTTGAAGCAGCGGTATCCTGGGGGAGGGTAATAAAAGAAGGTTAGAACCAGCTCCAGTGTTAGTTTTAATACTGATTAATAAGCAGGCAAAGCATAGGCATCACTGGATCAATTAAGGAATATTGGTTTGTATTTGTGGGTTTTAGGTTTAGCTTATGTGCTTAGATGTAACTACATTAATGTAACTACATTTTATTTGTTAGTAATGCAATGATGTAAAGCACCACACTTCAGTCATTTATTATGTCCCCTTAACTCTTATATTAAAGTTACAATTATGTAATTGTAAAAAAAATTGCATTGCAAAGATTTTTTTGTTATCTGTCCCCAAAACACATCAAACAAACATGTTTTTATTCTTCATAAAATCAAATAAACTTTATTAGTCTCAGAGTTGGGAAAGTCACATTCTTACAGCTGCAGTGTGAACAGAAATAAAGTGACGCACTGTAACTTAGCAATAATAATATTATTATTTTAGTTTTATTGTAGTTTTGGTGGGATTTTTAAATGTGTTTTGTTTTAGATGTAGTAGTTGGAGACCCAGCATGTCTGTCTGTTTCCCAGCTTTCCTCCCTCCCATACCCACTCTTTTCTCTTTTCTCTCTCTCTCCTTTTCTTTTTCTATCTTTCATGTCCTTTCTGCTTCAGCATAATATCCACATAGATAATAGCATGAATAATAAAAAATAAAATAAATAAAACAATAAGATTAACAAAAGGAGCCTAGAGAGAGCCCATAGTGCTCTTCTTGGGAAAGCAGATGTGTTTGGCACAACAAAGCATTCAGACCATGATTCTGCCTGCTACAAGGACTAGACAGGACAGATGTTTAAGAAAAGAAAAAGAAAAAGAATAAAGGAATCCGTAAAAAACAGAATAAAAATGTGTATTATCCAAGGTAGATGAAATATTAGGTCCGCTATTTATTTTTTTTTTACCTTATGTGAACCACAACAATAAGAGCTGATTGGATGACTCTGCAGATGCTGATGGTTCACACACTAAAATACCTCATTCACGAATTTGTTCCAGCATTCATCTCCAGCTCCAGGTGGGGAGACTGCAGTGATTGCTCTCGTTCCTTTACAGTTTTGTGGCTAATACCACAGGTTACCTTTAGTTATAGTGAGAGACATGTTTACTAGTGTCTATGAATACAAAAGATATGTATTTTGTGATATGGAAAGGCGTATGGTGAAGACAGTTATGGCAATGTTTTAGATTTCTGATGAATTGTTTTGGGTGGATGGTTGTGGATGATAGTAGACAAAGCTCATTGTTTGCAGTGTAATTCTGCTGCACATTTGCCCAATGCTTCACATGACTCATTTGTATTCTGGTGTCCTTTGAGTCTCTGTGGGCAGGCCACTTGCATGTGCATGACAATCACTAACCACAGAGTTACATGAGTGAAAACAACTATGACAGCACTCTCTTTGTCTGCACCACTAAAACTGCTTTTTTTAAATTCCCCATAATTAATTATTGACAGTTATACATTTCCTCACAGTGCGTTATTGTTACTGGAAAAACAGACTTTGGCAGCATGTGCGTTTGCGTAATGTCACATGTTTTAGGCTGCAGGTCCTTGTGACACAACACTCTTTATCACACTCAGTTTTTGTGTTGATTGAATTTGTCTCTGCACATTTTCTCAGTGATACCAAATAAATATTGGTTTTAATACTGTAGTATATTTTCTCCCTGTGTAGCTCTACATAAAAACAAATCACTGTCAGTACTGACAGGAGCAGACTTCAGCTTTAACTTTAACTAGACCATGAGTGTGTAACAGGTAGCACTTCATATATGCTGTCTCTGTCAAATTCAGACACAGGACTACCCATCTGCCTTCTCTAGCTTTTGGGCTTATCCACCCTAAACCCCTGGCAGCCTGCAGACACCTGCCACTGAGGCTTTAAGCCATCAGGTGAGCTCTTGAAACATTTAAAAGCGGAGTGGACAGTTAGATGTAAAAAATTTAAATAGTAGTACTTTCCTTAAATTTGACGTTAATAACATTATGATTACGTACCGGAAAAGCAGTAGATGAGGCCAAATGAAAGGCAAACAGAGCACACAATAGATGGGATGACTTCATACTTCATATTAATCTCAAGTGTACATATGTCCACTTCACTTAAGCCAGCTCCTGGTTTCTCAGTAACATAGAGTGAAGTGAGTGCCATCTTGGAGGGTTATTACTTCTGGTGGTGAGCAGCTGGTGTGGACGTGAATCTGTTTTGCTCATTGAAAGGACAAAACTGGAACGGCCTGCATTTTGTAGCCAGGGAAAGAGGAAGCTCCTGAACCAAGAGCATGTACTAAACTGTTTCCTGTTGTGCACCTGCAGAAAGAAAAGACTGTTTATGACTTCTACAGCAAAGACAAACACAGACCCAGTTCTATTTTTTCCTGCACTAACTTGAGATTTATTAAACATCAAGTCTCGTCTATCCCGGAAATTTCTCCAACGAAAACACAACTTCCAATCCATATGAGACATCATAAAGTTTTTAAATGAAGCATCAGTCATATTTGGGTGAATTTATGAGAGGATGTTGCTCTTTCCCATGTCCAATTCCCTGTTCAGGAACCAAAGGAGGAAACTGGGGGGTCCCCTTGAGTTTCTCTTTTGTTCAAGAACAGGAAACAGATGAGGAAATGACCTTGTGAGTTGATGCCATCGTAATACGTATGTATTGTCCTGAACATGTGGTTAAGTATTTCTGTTTAGTGCACAAGATAATGAAAAACACAGCTCAACAATAATACAGTATATTCTATATGGTGGAATAGATGTACTCTAGCCTCTAGCATAAGTAAAACTAGCTAAAACAGTACAGAAACAAAGGAGTTCTGCATTCAGAAAACCCTTTAAGTACATAGTGATTTAAAAGTTTGCATTCTGGAGAAGGACTGTAGCTTATAATTAACGATGCATCACTTTAATGTTGTGGATAGTTATTATGAATATTCAAAAGAAAAATATTTCCTGATTAATTTGAGTGAAATTGGGGTATAAATTTCACTCAAAGATGGAGACATTTATGCAAAGCATAAACCTATTTTCCTCCACTAGAAAAACAAAATAGAATTACTTATCAGCTAAATGAAAACTATTTTGTTAGGTATTTTATACACTCATTATTAACTGCATAGATCGTGTTTACACACTCTTCATCTTGGCTTACAGTGCAGCTGTCTAGATACAGGTTGTATTATTGTAAAGACTTTACAAGCTGTTCAGGCAGATTCTACGGTCAGCAAATGGAATTAGCGGGGCTTTAGCAGGTGAGGGATCCTCCTGTCAACTCCTGTGTACTCTTGTATAGATAAAAGCACAAACATTTTCTAGCGGCTAAATAATCCTTGTAACATTAAAAACATTAAAAAAATCACAGCTTCAGTACAAGAAAAGCTACTAAAATAATTATTTTTCTACTAGTTTGTGAGATTCAGTGACAAAATAATATATTATTTTCATTGCAGAAACAGTCAGTATGATTATCTATAGAGCTGAACAGGATAACTACAAACAATAAAGAAACCACAGTCTCTTAAATGAAAACATAATTTTAAAATTTCTGTGACCTACCTCCAATGCCACATATCTTCACACTGTAAAAGTAAACTTTCTGCGAAAAACAAAATATCCTCATTAGCTGTTAATCCCAGGGAAGGAGAGAGAGGTCCGTAGTTTTGTCAAAAGTTTATGTTGTTCTCTCTGAGAGCTGTGTGTGAAATCAGTGTCCACCGCAGTAAGTCATCTGTGCTTGTGAACAGCTGACGCCTGACTCTGAGAGAGAGAGAGAGACCATCTGCCCCCAGCGTCAATACAAAGCTGCTACCAAGTCCAAGGCCAGACCAGCTGAGAGTTCAACTCTCACTACCCAGGATCCTGCTGGAGCCACAGCACAGTTCAGCATTTATTTTAGTCAATGTGGCTTTTCATTAAGGTTAAATTCAGCATGCACTAAAACAATATTGCTTTAGGCTCTGATTTGTGCTTATTCATAGGCTCTCCCCACAAAAATGCAATTTAATCCTTTTCTTGTTGGGTTGCAAACAGTATTCTAAATGTGTGTGTGTGTTTTAACCATGTTAAAGTGGGTGCCTTTAAAGTTTTAGTGCTATATATAATATGAACCTGCATTAAAATTTGTGAAGGTACTTGTGGTCTTAAAAGGGATGATGCATACTGACTTAAGTGATCCCTGAGCTTCTCCTCTACTGCCACCATGAGGTTAACATTTAACAACAACTTTTAGCTATACTTTGTTTTTAGTGCTAATCAGAATCTTAGCATGCTAAACTAAGGTGGTAGCATGCAGGCAACATTACGCCTACAAATTTCAATAAGTCAAGATTTGAAGGAACTGAGCATGAGTTATTGAAATTTCGAGTAATAATGTATTTGGTAATTAGACTGCAATGAAGCCACATAGCATAGTGGAGTCCAACAATGGCAAGGAATAGAAGAGGACCCTCCTGGAGTTTAGACACTGGTGGTGGCAGAAATGGTCAGGATGAAGTGGAGATGTAGAGGAGGCAGGAAGTAAAAGTCTGAAAGGCAGAATGACAGGAGAGCATTGAGATTTAAACTATGTGGAACAGAGGAACGCAGGCAGAGTGATGACAACAGATATATCTTTGACTGCGTGGGAAAGAGGAAGTAATGCAGAAAAAAGAGCAGCTTGAATGCAGGCAAATGAATGACCAGAGAACTTCCTTATTGAACTTATTGAGCTCATATCTACATCTGGACTGCAATTGCTAAAATTAATGTTTTATCTCAAAGCTGCATGCTACATGGGGGACATATGTGCTCGTTGTATTTTGTTCCCTGTTATATTTGTTGCTTTCTTTGTGTTTGTGCCCTCCTTGTGCCCTTGTCTCTGTCATCAGGGCTTGTCTTCATGGGTCATTGATAGTTCTTTGTTTGTTAGCTACTTCCTGTTTTACTTTGAAGGTTGTTTTTTTCTTTTGACTTGTTTTGGTTTCACTGTCTGCTTTTGTTCTTTTCCCTCCTTTGGGATTGTCTGTGCTGTCATCACTGTCCCTGTTTTTCATTGTTTTCCTTTGTGTTTCTCTCCTACCTGAGCCTAATGACGACTAACCTGTCCTGTTTTCTTTTTTACCTTTATCAGTTTCTCAGACTTATCGTGCATTTTTTGAATTGTGGTTTTATTTTTCTGCTTTGTATCTTCCTTGTTTTTGTGCTTTCTGCTAGTGTGCATTTGCATGATTCTCGCTTATCAATTTGCCTTCAACCCAGCTCTCTTTTTATCACCTGCCCTGATAAACAAAAGATTTGAACCACAGGTCAGTGGGACTTCTGTGCGCTCAGACAGGGCTCTGTGCCAAAGATGATCATTTAATGATATCTGCAAACTGATGTCTAAGAGTAGAAAAAATTAAACTACAGACAGCGGCTTCATTATTTGAAATTTTGGCCATGTTTAATATGAGCAAAACAACAACAGTCTCATTTAAAAGGCGCTCTGCATAAATATAAAAAACATAAACAACAAGATTTGTGAGGCAGGTAAGTAAACGGTAGTTAAAAAAGAATAGTTTAAAATGTTTATTCACAAATACACAATAATGGTCTAAGGGGGAAGCACAGCAACATGGTGCTTAGCATTGTTGGCAGACAGCAAGAAGGTCCTGGTTTCTAATCCAATGTCTTTCTGTTTGGAGTTTGCATGTTCTCCCTGTGTCTGTATGGGTTCTCTGTCCAGGTAATCTGACTTCCTTCCTAAAGTCATGCACTTAATTAATTTAGAATCAAAGGTGTGAATGGTTGTCTGTCTCTATGTGTTAGCCCTGCAGTAGACTAGCAGCCTGTCCCGGGTGTACCCTGCCTCTCACCCTATGGCTGCTCGGATAGGCTCCAGCCCTGGTGACCCTGAGTTGGATAAGGGGAAAAGAACGGATGAATGGATGGATGAATGAATGAATGGTCCAAGGGGAGGCAAGTGCAGAGTGGGCAGACATATATCCAAACCAGAGGAGCCTGGAGGCATTGGTCACTGTCTGATGCACTGAAAGAAGATCTGAGATATTAGGACAACACACTTAAAATCTTTTAAAAGTAGACAGGAAATACCACGAGGGAGCCTGAAAAATGCTTCCACACACAGTCAGTGCCACATAACTGGCAGAAAAATCTTGCAAAAAGTAGATGATGAGTGACCGACTGCAGGTGTGCCAACCAGGAAGCCAGAAGAGACCGGTCGAAGCTATGCCTCCACGAGGGAGGTGCTGACAACACGAGCGAAATGGAAGGAGAAAGAGAGAAGGGAGGCAGTTCAGCACTGGAGGCAAAATCAACCATAACAATGATGCAGCTTGAAATCTATGAGAACAGTGCAAAGATGATCAGGGAAATTATTTAAGGCAAATATTTCATACTTCAGATAGAAATCAAGGTACTGTAAAAAAAAAAAAAAAAAAAGAAAAAAAAAAAAATAAGACATAGGGGGAAAAAAGCAAACAGTAACAAAGGGAGTGAAGAGAGTGAGACGTAGGGGAGCAGGTGTGTTTTACTGAGGAGGTCAAGGAAAGTAAAAATAAAGGCTGCAGGGCAAATGCAGAAAGTAAGTTGATATATTTTCACTTTTTTTATTGTTATCAAACCTGAATTGTATACATCGATATGTATGCACAGGCTTATTATGAAGCTATAGTTCTAGTATATTTTTTATTCTTTCATTAGTACTAAGATTGGTCTGCACAACTGCTTCATATATTAAATAGTAATAATATTTTTATTTTGCTTTCGGCAACAAATCAAAATGAAGCTGTGCACATTTGCACATATACAGAGAAGGATTTTAGTCCGAGCACAACTAGTTAGTGGGTTTATTTTTATGTCCCTTCTGCTTTCAGATGCCACTGAGTTCAAGTTTATTTCATTATTTCTGTGGGAGAACTGGGCCGAGGCAACAAATTCAGACAAACAAGATGCCACACTTGTCAAATCGGATAATCCTTTATTTTCAAAAGACAGTCTTGCCGAGTATAACGTTTTAGTTATTACATTTTCCCTCCACAGGCTGGCATAGTAAGAGCATGTCCTTACTGTGAGATTAAATAGTAAGTTAGCACTCAATCAACAGGGATCTGCTCCGGGCAGTTTACAGTGCAGCAAAAGTCTTATTTATAGACACACGAGCAGAAACAGCAGAGTGTAAAAAAAACACTCACCTCAAGTCAGCGGCTGAGTTATGGCACAAAAATCAGATGTCAGGGGAGATGGAGCAGATTAATCATGACAGCAGCCATGGCCATACAACTGCAGGACACTGAGATGCAATAAGGTTGACACAGGCAGTGAAATGGAGCTGTCTTTCAGAATTAAGTTCCTCCAGTGAGACGTCTAATAAGGACAGTACCAGCTTGTCATGCTTTCATTGGTCTTATATGTCTTTTGTCTGCTTTGGCAGATCAAACAACACCATGCTTTTTAAAACTTGAGAGATTAGATGAAAACTGACAAAAGAGCTTGGTGATAAAAAGGTGGAAAGTTGTTTATTTTTAGCAGTGCCGATATAGTGGTTCAGCGTTAGAGTATTGATGATCTGTCGGTGGGTTTGTTGCCTTCTTTGGCCCAAAGGGAAATCTTGTACAGATGTTTGTGTTGTCCAGATATTGAATTCTGGTGTCTTGTAGAGCCACCACAAAACTGACATTTATGATTTATGATAATTTTGAGTGAAATGTCTCACCAGGTATTGATTGCTGTTTTGCACCTTTGTCATTCTGTTCCTCTCAGAGTGGTTGATTAATCAGACATTTTTACCTTGAGCCACCGTTGAGCTACCCTGACTTTTATAATCAAATGTCAGCAAAGCCACAACTGCAATTTGTATTTAGTGCCATAGCTTCCCATCTTGTACTGATGAATAAGACATAGAATAGAAGTTAAGACATACATAAAGTAATCTGTAAGAATGCTGGATTTTAGTTTACTCCTTAAGGTGTTCAGCCCAAGATTCCCAGATATCCTGAACATATTTTAAAGGTCCCAGGTGGCACAAAGTGTAATTAACGCAGCAATAAACTAGGTATACAAACTTTTATTTTAAATGATAACCTGTAGGCAGTGTTGGTCAAGTTACTTGAAAAAAGTAATCAGTAA